GGGTGGGATGGGATGGAGGGCTGGTGGGGCGAGGGTGCAGACTTTTTGGGGGGCGGGGAGTGGAGTTGCCTTCGCCATGCAACTTCGCCGCTCTGTTGGCGGTCATGCCGCCCAGCGGCAGCTTGGGCGCGTCCCCTGGTTACCCAGTCGCTGAGCGCCGAGCGTAGGGCTCCCACCCTGTGTCGGCGCCCCTGACGCCCCGCAGGCAGCACCGCCAGCACAGTGGAGGCCATCGGGGCCAACGGCCTGGAGCGGCTGCTGCGCGTGTACGACGCCCTGGCGGACCCTGAGCGCCTGAAGGAGGCCAGCCTGCACGTCAACGGCAACTTTGGGGTGCAGCGGCTGCTGGAGGCGGCCGCCAAGCTGCGCGCGGCGCTGCACGGCCACGCGGCGCAGGTGGGGGCGGCGCGCGTTGGGGGGGGACCTCGCTTGCGGCTGCGCAGCGTCGCGCCCTGCATCCAGCCGCAGCACGGCGCCCCCTGAGTCGAGCATCCGCAATTCACGCTCTCGCATCTCGCTCACCCCCGCAGCTCAAGGCGGCGGCGCTGCAGATGGCCCAGTTCCGCAAGAACCACGGCAACCGCGACCCCCTATCCGCGCTGCTGCGCGCGATGCTGCCGCACATGCTGGAGTACTGCACGCACGACAAGGGCGTGTACGTGGTGCAGTGCGCGGCGCACCACTGCGCCAACAGCGAGCTGCTGGTGCTGGCGCAGGCCATCTTCCCCATGGGGATACCGGTGCGCGGGGGCACGCGACGTAGACGTGACGTCACCTCTGTGTCTGCCGCATCGCCCCTGCCCCGAGGCCCCAGATATGACCTGCTAGCCCTCAGGAACAAACCACCAACTGAGCGACCATCTAACCACCCAACCACCCCACCACGTGTCAAACTCCCCGCGCCAACACCCCCGGCTCCCACACCCCCCCCAATTGCCAGGTCAGCAAGGACGCCAAGGGCATCTTTGTGCTGCTGGGCCTGTTTGAGATCATGGAGCAGCGCATCTGGTCGGACCCCCACGTCTGCGAGCTGCTGCTCGCGGAGACAGACAAGCTCTGCGGCCTGTTCGTCTCCAACACGCGGCAGCTGCAGTTCACGGCGATGCACGGGCTCTCCGGCAGGATGCTGATGCGCGCCGCCGCGCTCGCGCTGCCGCGGTGGCAGGCGGTGCGGATGACCAGCCGCATCGCGAGCCTGGCCGGGCAGATGATGGCGGTGGGCGACGCGCGCGGCGGCTGCCAGACGCTGCAGGAGCTGCTGCTGCTGTACGGCCACAACGAGGAGACGACGCTGCTGCTGCGCGACGCCGCGTGCATGGTGGCGTACCAGCTGTCGGGGGCCATCGGAAAGTGAGCGGGCGGCCGGCATGGGCGGGCGGCGGGACCCTGGGAAAAGAACACAAGGCGGGGGCTGTGGTGGGGGTTGAGGCTGCGGAGGGCTCGAGGGGCGCTGCTCTCATGGCGGCAGGCGGGCGCTTGCAGCAGCGCATCCCTGCCTTGGGCCCACACCCTGTAGGCCGAGCAAGCCATCAGATGCAACCCGTCCATGCTGCGGCTCAAGCACCCCTACTCCCCTGCTTCAAACATCAGTCGGCCCCACCCCCCCTTGCTCTGTACCTTGGCCCCTCGACGGCCCGGCTCCCCGGCTACCAGGTGCGCCCTGTCAGACAACCCCGAGCACCGCGACCTCGTGCGGCTGCTGATCCAGCGCATGGCGCACGAGCAGGAGGTCGCGTGGCTGGACGCCATCATACAGGTGGGCCTGGCTTTGGGGGTGGCAGGGCCTGCCTTGTAGGGGGCACACGGCCTGCCTTCTAGGGGAGACGTGGCCCGGCTTTTGGGGGGGACAGGGCGGGGCATGCGTTGCAGGGGCAAACGGGTTGGGGGCAAGCTGCGACCTGGCGCGCATCTGAAGCGGTTGCCTAGAGCCAGGTTCGGCAACGATCAATATGGTAGAGTGTAGCAGGGAGCCCTGCCTTGCCGAGGGGATGGAGCCGCAAGCGTGCTCATATCGCATGCCGCCGGCACCAAACGCTTAGTTCAGCCCCCGAGCGCGCCTCGGGGGCGCCGACACGCCCCCCCGAGGCTCCTGTGGAATACCACAACTCCCAAGACCCCTGCAACGTCCCCCCAATGCACGCATGCACGCACTCACGCACGTGCACGTACGCACTCACGCTCGCGCACCTCAGGAGCTCGTCGGCGTGTGCGACGCGCTGGTGCAGCGCCCCGCGTCCCAGGAGCTGCTGGAGCTCGCCCTCACGCAGGACGTCCTGCGCATAGACCTGGACGGCGTGGCCGACCACCTGTCGGACGTGAAGAGCGTTCTGGGCAAGGCGGGGGTGCAGCCGATCGTCGGCCGCATCATGGCGGCGCTGCAGGACGGCGGCGAGGCGCCGAAGCCGAGGTACTTTGCGCCGTCGGTGATCCAGCCGGAGCTGCGGTACTGGGTCGAGACAAGGGGGCACCCGCTGCCGCTGCCGCCGCCGCCGCCGCCGGCGGGGGCCGAGAGGCGCGCGAGCGGCGCGTCGCAGGCCTCGTCTGGCAGGGCGCCGGGCTCGGCGGCGGCGGAGGCCTCGGCGGCGGCGGCGGCGCAGGCGG